AAAGTGATCTGGTCACAAGAGTTTTCTAATTTCTTCGTCGTCACTCGCTGTTTTGCTCTAATTTTAGCAACAAAACAGTTTTTCCAGTTCAATTAAACATACACGTTTTTATCGTTTTCACGAATCCCTTCATCTCAACACTGCTGGTTTCATGTGCTTCATTTCTAGTCGTATAGAGGGCTGTTGCACTCCGAATTCTAACACTGTGCACTTGTAAACATCGTTCTTGTATTTGTCTTTCACAGTCGACTTTTTTATAGAGCAAACTTATTTGTACAAAAGTTGGTCGTAGTGCTCCCACTATCTCAGTATCATCATCTTGTGTTAAGCAGAGAAGAGGTGGTTTAGCTTTTAATGTCAGTTTTATCTATAGACTTTACTAGCTGACGTGAGGTACTAAAGATACCTAGCTAATGTCTTGTCAATCTTCTATGTTGATGGAGGTTATTTCTTATAGCCTTGTAGCTTGTCCAACGGAAGGATTATGACCAACTAACCAACTATGGTGAGGAAAAATCTGTTCTGCACTTATAAGTACACAGCAACCTTTTTTCTCGCTACTCGATTGGCCAGCAGTACGACTGACGATTGCTATTCCGCTGCGATGAATCATAGTTGTGGTATGGAGTGGACATTGAAAGCAATACGGACATAGATCCAACGCGATCTGCGGGGCAATGCACAACACATAGCAAAACAGAAATGCTGACAGCAATGTGATTCTATGGTGGGGAATACTAATATATGCTAAACAGGGACATACGCACTGTGAACATCGGTAATGTTCTCAACTCTTCAGGCTCTTTCTACTTCTCAAAAAAGTTTCATCTGTTGTCGAAAAACCAGCAAGTTCGTAAAGACACGAAATTAAGCCCAGACACCCACGGTTTAACCCGCTATCCGCTTCCTAAAGACGCGTCAGTCATCCTTACTTCTATGCTACTCGAGATCCCTTGCCGCAAGAAAATTGGTACTGCTGTGTATTTCATTTGAGCATTAGACGTTGAGCTCTTTACATCATAGAGCACTCATTATACCCTATTCATATATAGAACCATGGATCCTCACACACATCAAGTTAGTGACATTTGTGCTAGGAAGATTCACAGAATTTGTATCGTTAACCTCAAATGAAGGACCTCTTTCGACGGAAGACATTATTTTAGGATTCATTCGGCATTCTATATATTCCTGCTGAATATCTAGTGCCTGAACATAGGAATGCTGCTAAGTGTTCGTCCGTTTCGCAGTTTTCTCTAAATAATCGCATTTTTCGACTTACCACAAATTTTTACGACGTAGTGAATCTTCGTAAACATTGGTTTTTTCCCAACTAGTCAAATAACTTTTAGGATCAGGTATGACTGTTGCTCATTTTACTGGAGTCATCGTATCACTCAGTGCTCACTAGTGCATTATTCTGTTTCGAGCATGCTGAATTTAATAGCAATCAAAGGCAGTATTTTTACCTTGTTCTATATGAAATGGTGACCACAAATTTCTCCGCAAAGATGTATGTGTGTACCGCCATATTCTCTGACTGCTGACCTTGTCTAAACCACGGTTTCACAAAACTTCTGTCTAGAGTGAAACAGTACTTTTCATTCACTGGCTACACATATAGGCAGTCAGGTTAATCATGAAGAAAGCACGGTTATTTCCGATGCTCATGGTTCGCTGACCTACAGAATGAGTAGTCTGTACAGCGTTACTCAAACCGGCGGCCTTTGCGCGAACTCGTCACCTGTGTAGATAACTGCATTACCCGACCAAATCCTTTCCTTCTTGGATCGATATCGTCATCTACGATGAAGATTTTCAGATTAATCGATTAAATCCATAAACTTTAGTGTCACTCAAAATGTACTCAATTATTTAACTCCTTCCAGCTTAACACATTCGCGACGATGCAAGTTTCATTGAGAGCTATCGGCAATTTGATGGCGTGTAGTGAGGAATTTATGCCATCGTTCTGATGGCGTGCAGACAGAAAATTATTGTAACTGTCTTAGGATTGCTAAAATTTAGAATTTCCGCTAAAATATCAGTTTTCTTAGATTTAAAAAAAACCGGTGGTCAAAAACATCGGTGAAACATCCGGAGATCCTAATGGTCTAGATCATTCCTGTTTTACACTTCTGCTCGAATTTCCAAAGCATAATAATTTTCGTATGAGTCATGCGTAATTTGTGGCCTTTACGACGTGTTCAGTGAGTGTGAGTCACTTCGGTGGTGATATATTAATTGTTTAAGTGTGATTAGGATGAAAATTTATCCTGAATGTTCGTCGTTGAAGGAGAATGTGGTAAGTTATACACACTATCAGCATTTATGAAAACAACACCGTCATATGCTATTCCATGCCCTTGCATAGTAGATGGGGCAACATTGAGCAGTTCCTGTCACCACACTATGTAAAGATTGAACGTTTACATCGTTCTCTTTCGTTATCAGGAAGAACCTCCAAACTATCAGAAATCGTTCTTCGTTGTTTCGGGATTATCAGCTGAATATAAGTGGTTACACCTCATCAGAAAACTTCGGTCCACTTTTGCAGGTTGATCGAAAGATTTGAACTTCTTGGATCTAGGTGGCTCGCAACATGTATCCTAAAATAGTCTGTTGTTTCCCAAGAATTGTTTTTTGTACACGCTCGTAATATAAGCGACGAAGCGGTTGAACAAGCCCGATTTCATCTATGAACACCGGATGCTGTCCACCAATACGTTGTTGATATTAGCTATTGACTCTAATTGCCTGAACTGTGGAAAAGCTGAAGGAGGAACTTCGTACGCTTTTTTCCATTCGAGTTTGGAATGAAAAAATTTCGAAATGTTTGATACCATTATTCATTAGGTAACTCGAGCAAGCACCAATAAAATTTTTATTTGTCCCTAACGCAAGGCAGACCTGTTCAGTAGGTTCTAGTTGCTCATAAGATAAGCACAGTTCTTTTATCGTCAATTATTGGGAATTAGCTGTTCACATACACTTCATCAGGCTTTTCTTTACGATAAATTTATTTCTAGCCGGGATTCCGGACCTGAGATGTTCAGCTTATTTTCATTTAAAGTGACTATGCTGATAGAATGAAAAGTCTGGTTACATTGCGTTTCGACAACCAAATTCCCTCTCAGTCACGATGATGTGGTAAGCCCATGGGATACATAGTTTATCGTTTATATATCACGCATGGATGCGCCATACAAACGACTCCACTAAATATCATGCAAGTAATTACATGTTTATTCTATAGAATGAAATCGGGTGGTCTGCACATGCATTCATTTTCTTTATCCTTCCACACAGGTCTTAGCAATACACTTACACTGGAAGGATGGGGGCTTGGCCAGCATAGACTACCAAATAAGACCACGTGTGTACCGCATGGTACCCTTATCATTGCGCTACATGCACCCCTTTATGAGTGGGCGTGTGTATGTATATTATGTATTCTTTTACATGCGAGCATCCACGTATACACCTATATTTTTTATACCCAGTGTATATATGCATATATACATATATGCGTAACCTCCAGAATCACCAATCTGTGGAAATAATTTTTTCGTAATATGCTGATACGAAGAATATTTGATTATACACTTTTTGTCACCCATCAGTAAAATCGCCGTTGTTCTACGCGCTCTGCATCTCATTTCAGCGCGCGATTCGGTCGCCGTTCACTATGCATAACCCTATCTTGTTGAAACAATGGTTTTCGTTCGTTTTTCGGATATCCATTCCTACCTGGTTGTTTCCAACACATTGCCGAACTGGAAGGTTTTCAATTTTTATGGACCACAAAAGGACCATATTCATGCCAAATGACAGCTAACCAAAGACGTTCAGAATTTCATTTCACTCTGCATTCAGTTGAGAATTATTAGACTATCATGGCAGATTATCGGAGTTTGACGTGGATTGCATGTCGATTGAGGCGAACGTTTGCGACATGAGAGTAACGTTATTGATAGTTAGTTGGTCGCCAAAAGCCTGTTCGAGCAGAGAACACGGATCGATTACGAAATAGGATGTTGAGTCACGGATAAAGCCTCTCATTTCTTCCTCATTGTAACAAAAACGTCGTGCTCGGCTATCGGCCTAGAACGGCCGTGTTATGGATAGGTGTCCATGCGCAAGGAGTCTCCAGATTCCATTCTTATGAACTATTTTGGAGTATTAACGACGAAATTAACTAAAAGTCGATCTTTTGAATCAGCACATCTTAGTTCGATTATTTTAAATTCAAGGTTCGTTTACTTAAAGTTTCGCCCGAAAATTTTGCGGAAAAGTGAGGGGTGGAAATATGTGAACAGAAAAATATTATTATCACGCTGATGGGTGATTGCTGTAGCAAAGATCGATATAAATAGCTGAGAGACGTGCGAAACAAAGGACCCGCATGATGTGGTGGTGAACGCGTTACTCCCCGGAAAGGACAATAGCGCGTTCGTTCCGCACCATAGACACCTGCGGTCCAGAGTTTTGCAAATATCTCAGCAACGTTGTGGTTGTATTTCGCTTAGTACCCTGCCGCAAAATTTTAGTAGGCAGGAAATAAAAAGGTATAACATTATTATCATTGTTACTACTGTTATTTTTGCTATTGTAACAATTGGTATTACTATTACTGCTGCTATTACTATCGCTGTTGTTACTGTTATTGTAGTGGTTGGTAATGTCATCAGCATTAGTCTTACAAGCTCCAGTCGAAGATGGATTAATTGTACCGTGTAATGAAAACTATTATCATTGTTAAATACAACCATAATACTGCTGAGCTATTTGCAAAACTTGGACCCTAGGCTAGATTCTTCGAACCAATAATAACCTTTCCCAGGGACCCACATGTTAGCCACTGCACCACTGAGGACCTGTTCTTCAGCATTCTCATTGCATCTCGTGATCATTTCTTCATTAACCACTTGTCTAGCGTTCTGCATATTCACCTTTGAGGGATTGCATTCGTTTCATTCGTATGTTTTGAATTGCAGCAAATGGCTGACGTACCACCATCTCTCGCTGACTTGCCTAAAATTCCTTCGGAAATTGCATCTGCTGTTATGGGCAAAGTGGAACTTAAGAAGGTTTCAACAAAGGAGAAAAATATTCTGCCAACAATGGAAGGTAAACTCCAACGCTGCTCTTGTTTTTGCTTTTATTTTTTTTCCATGATTTTCGATTACATTTTGTACAAACATAGATGTAACAAAGGAGCGTCAACATGCGGCCATGCTCAGTGGAATCGAGAACTTCTGTGCCGATCAACTAAAACATTCTGAACTGGAGGAAAAAGTATCGCTACCAAGCAATGAAGGTCATGTTTTCGTGAATTTACAATATACCGCACAGTTCTTTGTGTATATTTAGGTGAGTTTTTCAGACATAATTCAAGAGAAGCAACACATTGAGCTGACTCAGAAGATAGAATCATTTTCTGTTGAACAGCTTCGTCATGCTGAGACTGAGGAGAAAAATGTGCTACCTAGCAAAGAAGGTTAGTGGAAGTAAATCGAAGCAACTAAATTGACCAATTGTTTTGTTTAGCTTTGTTACTGTACAGGAATCTGTTTCGTAATCAGTGTTAGGCATTAGAACCAATCATTAGTGAGTTTATCAACGATGGGTGAGAGTGATCCGCCAGAATAATGAAATGAGGAAAGATTTTTAGCCATTTTTCATGTCGGCCACTCGTACCAAGAAACTGAAAACTATCAAATTATATGTCTACACTTTTAAACCAAACATCTCATTTCGGCGTCGACAAATTGCTACCAGCGTTATCTAGACTGTGCTCTGTGCAAATCAGCAGAGGCCTGCGACTGTTTGCGGTGAATATCTGAGAATGTTCTATTAGATTTATCCGAGGATCTCTAAAAATTCATCTCATATGGAACTAAACGAAATTTGTGAGGAAAATAGAAGTCCTAAAGTAGTAGTAATCCCACAGGCAATTCCGAAAGCCCAAGTAAATGATGGATGTGGAGCTGGCGATCGAAAAATCATAAAATGGGATGAAAAGAGCATTAGGAACCGCACACTGTGTGAAGTTTGATCACGTAAGTAAATGTACGTTAGAATACTATGTACTTTCTAGTACATCTGGATTCTTTGGATACCAAACTTTTATTTAAACCTGTTGGCTTTCCTGGTTTACCTCATTGAAGCGTTCTAGAATGCTTCCAGTCGATATAGTATTCAATAATGCAGATTTGACTGGCTCATCGTTATCTTGTGATGACCAGTCAACCACTATGCAGTGCCTACGAGTTACATACTCCATCATTCCCATTTTCCATCTGGAATCATAGAAGGCAGTAGACGTGCTGACGTGATATGGTACGGTGATTGCTGTAGTCCAAGCATTGTTGGGAATGTTTGTTCAAAGTGGTTCTACTCAGTAATCACGTAACACTGTCGAAGGACTGCTCGCTTCTGTAGCACACAAAGCCTTTGGGGTGGAAGTGTAAGTCATAGCTAAAGATTGTCTTGTTTAAACGTTGAAAGATCGTATATTGAACTGTGACCGTATGCTCACGGCAATTTCTGTGAACCGGATGTACTTCGTTCATCTCTTTACTGCGGAATTTGGTTTTAATCAAATGGTTTGGCTTCATATGACTTTCCAGCTATTTTCAAAAGTACCATTCCAATAAAAACCTGCTAACAAGCATATTTAACGTTTAATATGCATGACTTCGTGAGGAGATTATGTGTGACCATTCGTTTTTTTTTTGTGATCCTGCGCTAAAGGTCGTCCACTATCCATCATTATCATCACTGATATCTGTTTGACAAGATGTGTTAAATATGTTTTGGTGTTCTTCTCACTCGTATTTGAACAGGTATTTAATCCTGTAATAACTTCGTGAAATACGACAAGGTTATTGCACTTTTTAAAATTCCTCCGTAATAAAATGCCGTCTGGCTAAGCCATTTTGAAGATTGTTTCCCATGGAGGAGCGGTTCTCTCAAAATTGCTTCAGGACATTTCAACAGCTAACCAATGGGCAAAGGCATCGATGTCTTTAAAGTGTTCAACAGGCTCCACAGCATGCTTCGGAATCGAATACAACAGACGAATTCCCTTACCTCTCTTTTACTCTAGGTACAAAGAAGTCGCATCCAACCTTGATCCACTTGCTGTTGTGGCGTAGAGCGGATTTTCGATAGTCCTCTTCCTTCTTAACTGGCCACTTTTTTGCAGAGATATTCGCTCGATCATTCCGTTCTATAGCTCCTTAGCTAGGTGTTAGCGGCCACTTCAGCCTCGTCATTTAATATAACCTGCACGTAATGGTGGTAATCGTTCTTTGTTTGAAGGATATCGAATGTTCAATCATTCAACGGCGGTCCCGTATGCTCTTCTCATACGTGTAGATTTCGTTCCTTTCTAATCTTCCTGACTACGTCTAGCCTGCCACAATCCTTGCGGATTTGGTAAATTGCTACTAGAATTGTCTGAGAAAGTAAAAAACACTAATTATATGGCTTGGTAGGCTCTGAAAACTAATTGTATAGACCAAATATGCGCCTGTCCAACCCTACCATTTTTAGTGGAGTCGACTGCAAAGTGCATCGCTAATGGAATGGTTAACATCGAGCACTTCATCCTTTATCCTTTATTTGAATCATTTCGAGTTTAATGTGTTTCATGCCTAGAGAAGTGGGTGAAAATAAGGGTTTTGTGGAACCCTCGGGGAGTTCAACGTGTAGGGTAAATATAATAGGGTTAGCTTTTCTACGTAATGGTTGCTAATGTTTACACTGTAATGAGGTAGATTCGGCGTCTAACGGTTTATTTAATTTAGATCTTCTTCGTGAAAAGACGGTTGATATGGCAGCACATTTCGATAAAAACCGTCTGAAGCATGTGGAACCGAATGTCAAGGTTGATGTCGAAGGTTCGTCATCTATTGAGACTCTTTAAGTACACCTAGATTTTCGTGTGAACAATGTGTCTCATGCTCACAAACGCAGTTCCCTTTGTCACCGTATACGAGTTTTATATGACTCACAGAGCAGTGAATATGTTAACACACTTTCTAAGAGCACTAATCAGTATACAGTGCTGTGGAGCACTGATTTCATACGCATCCCGACGGCACTTCACATGACCTTGCGAACAATGCTACCGTATCAGAGTAGGCTGTGTTTCTGTTAGTTCGAATTTCTTGCATAAATGTTTACATAGTATAATTCATCGTTCGGTCGCCATATAATGTCCAGTGTATTTTTAATTCAATCTTTTTTGCTTGCTACCATTGCGGAAGTGTTTGAAATTATTCCCTTTCTTTTGGTCATTGGTCCACTGGAAATTTTTGAAAAACGACGGTTTGTGCAGAGATTAGGTACAGGTTACTCTTTTAGTCCTCTACTGTCATAATACGATCCGTCTGTGCTTCATTTTTGATATATGTTCTTCCCTATTACGAATATCTAACATTCTTAATAAGTCTGAGTCACAGTCCCTCTATATTAATGTCAAGTAGTTCTTCAAAAAAACCTCAAGTGTCTTGTGCATTGTATGTATACGTTTAGATGTTGTACTCGTTTTGGCCCATATGCCGTCGACATAGCGAAAAAGCGTTGAGTCAAGCACGCATGCCCTGGATGATAGCTATTACTAGCATTAGCTACGCGCTTTAGGGCAGTGGTTAGAGACGCTCTGTAAAAAAGTAAAAGGACACGCGGTCCTTGGTTCGGTCTCGCTTCCCGGAAAACCGAGCCATTGACCGAGTTAGTAAACGGAGTTGACCGAGAGAAGAGAGTCAGTAAATTAGTTTCCATACTTGTTTAAGAGTTGAAAAGCGGTGAGCTGGTATATTGTTAGGGCCCAAAAAGTCGATGCGTATACCGGACATGCAACTAAATTGGCTTGATAGACATCTCCGAGAATACTAGCAGTGGCGTTGAGGGTGCCTGCGGAAAATGTAATTCAGCTCGATGTATCGAATTTCTTATAGTATATCCAGAAAGAAAACGGGAGAGCAATCCTCGAAGTTTTCGTGTGATATTCATTTGCTTCCTGATTCAGTAAATCATTCACTGACTTGGAAAGAAAATATAACGTAGTCATATATATATTTTCAGTGATCGACGCCTAACTTCTCTTCAGCATGTGTCACATTAATCATATCACAAGTTTTCGTTTATCGATTATTTGCCTTGCTTCCATGATGTTTAACTGCATAAACCTATTATTAAACATTTGAACTACCACAGCGTTCTGTCCTACCTGTTCAGATGGCATTCGGTTGTTTCACATCAAAGAATCTAGATGCTTCAAATATTCATCAAAACTTACAAATGTACGAAAGCTGATTGTAGCAAAGTGTCCTAATCCGTGACATCTGAACTATTTTCCTGCAAAAGAAGAAGTGTAAAATGCTCCTGCTTGGTATCAGCTATGCTTCGGCATTACTCTGAGTTCACACAACCGTATGAATTTTTTTGACGTTAGACCCAGTTTTTTATGCATCTTCAAGTTCTGATGAAAACTCATATTTCATCATATTTAATGTAAACTATGCTTAGTTTGACGAAGTTGTAACCATGAACTGGGTGCATAACTTATTTACAACTGGAGCATCCGTTCCCGAAAGCGATTATTTTGTGGAAAAGCTCAGATGAATCTATGTCGTGTTTCATCTCAACACGTGGAATTGTTCTGTGTCAACCACTTGGGGATTTAATGAAGCTATAATGGCTTTCATGATAATATCTCATATGTCTTAAAAGCAAATGCACAGCTTAGAGTTCGTTTTTTTTTTTGCTCTAATTCAGGTATACTATTTTTCTCAGTAGGAGGCGTAATAGAATGAATCTACCGCCGTGATGTCAGTCAATAAATCCAGTAATGATGGACAACTAAGTACAACTTGGAAAAGGCTAGACATAATCTGCACATAATACAGTAACTGTTGAGGAACTAAATACTAGAAATTTTTCTTAGTGACGATCATGCTGCTACTGTGTCGTTTTGATCCTTCACCACTTTCATCTAAAATTCAATGCTTTCTTTTAATGCATGCCCTTGGAGGAGGTAGGAAACATGAACAGCTCATTCTTTAAAATTAGTCGTTAAGTACAAAGAGAAATAAACAGTTTCTAATATTGTAAGCGTACCATTTGATTTGCCAAAGTAAGTGAGTACTATGAAAAAACTACATTCATTCCACTGCATGATCAGCTTTTCTTTCTTGATGCAGCCCCAAAGAGACAAAATTTCTCCTATCCACGACTATTAGATTGATCGATTTTGAATGAAAAGCTCAAATCGGCATTAAGTCACTACTTCAACAATTTAAGTGAGGAACATAGAAAGCAGGGCAACACTATTGTTTTGAACAACGTCATAAAAATTAACCTTTATTCCGCCCGAAATTCTGTGGATATTTCTGGTGTTTGATGTCTCATTCTCTGATCTTCACAGAGAATTGTGGGTATGAGACATCACAACAATGCACGGATGCAGGCGTTAGACTAATCAACTGAACCCT